GAGCACTATGAGTCCAAAGTTTAACATAGTCTTTATTGGGAAAAGCTTAAAATTCATCTTATTCAGAACCTGCAATGCCAAACATAATTAGAGGCTCCAGGGAGCTTGAATTGCTCCCCTATTCAACTGGGTCTCATTTGACTTGATTATAAATAAATTTCTAGTATGTGCAAGTCTGAGGTGCTAGTGAATAACTTTAATTAAGCTTGATTGCATGAAGTGTTCAATATTCTCAGAAAAAAAAGATGAATTTGTTTACGATACAAACTTTGCCTTTACTGGCGACCATTACGAAATTCCTATCGCTTCAAAAAGTGAAAAGTTAAACTATAAGGTTGTCGTTATTATCAGATAGCGGTCAGGAGTCTGTAATTCAGTGGTTGTCATTTGATGCTGTGTTACATATTCGTGTTTCGGTCTTTGTTTGTACATTATTAAAACCGTTATTTTCACTCGTTTGAATTAAATTGTTAAACAGCTGTCATTTCGGGGACTCTCCCTCTGGTACCTTTCGTCCCTCTTTTATAGATGACTATGCGGGGGCTTTTCTCATTATTGAGGGCATTATGATGACCTATAGTTGTTTATTTCTGTGTCATTTAGTCTGTTGGTAATCCTAATACATATTCTTTTATATATACAGCGATGTCGTTATTACGACATAGCTATGTCGTAATTACGACATAGTGATGTCGTAATTACGACTTGGTATGTCGAAATTACGACATAGCAATGTCGTTATAACGACATGTTATGTCGAAATTACGACATAGCGATGTCGTTATAACGACATATTATGTCGAAATTACGACATAGTGATGTCGTTATTACGACATGTTATGTCGCAATTACGACATTTTATGTCGTAATTACGACATAATTTTTTTTTTTGAATGGTCCTTATCGGCTTCCGTATTAAAAGAATAATATTTTAAAAAAAATATCTTCATTTTTTGCATTCCAGTTTGCAAATTACACACTCGGTAATATTCATGTATGCGTGTAAAAATTTTGACAGAAACATGCATATTTTGTATTATGAAGCGTGAAAGTATTTACAAGGCTTTTTAATGGTATTTTTCACTTAAAAAAAATAATTTATTATAGATTAATATATGTATTTACCACTGTACACGTAGTTACAGATTGAATCGTCGCCTTCTCCCTTGCTGCATTTTCTGTAGGAACTGTTGTACACCAACTTGAATTTTAAAAAAAAGAAAATAACAGTTAACATGTTACAGACAATGTTGACAGTAAAATGACCGAACGAATATCTTTTGACATATTCCTAGAATACTGTTCCCATTTAGTTAAGTATTGAACATTGGCAGCCATTCACCAACGAGCTTAGTGTGTACTATGAAAAATTGATACTCATAATGAATAATTGATGGCTAAATGGAACGTTAGTTGCTTAACGTTCAGTGTATATTTTAGGGGGAGAACAAATTACAATCAATACAATTAGAAGATTATCCATGGTACAATGTATTTATTTGGAAAAACTTGTTGATATTAAAAAAAATATGGTTTTTACATTCGTCTAAATATCAAATCAAAATGTATTAATCAAAATGTGAATTTGCCAGAAATCTGTTCGGAATTTTAAATACAGAACATCTTTTTATGTCTTTTATTAACTATTATGCTAAATAATGACTGACTGTGGTTTATTTAACATACAATGGCAAGTATTTCATGCATATAGAGGACGAGAAAGGTGTAGACTACTTCTAGAAAATTTATATCAATATAGGTTTCCCCGCCAAGAAACTTGGTACAGAAATTTCTGTAGATAAAAAAACAAAATAAGACTATACAGCATCGGCTATATTTTTGAAAAATATTCAGATACCAAAAAAGGGGGGTCTTATAAGTATATAAGTACAAAAAGAACAGTTTCCATGATCTGTAGAAAACAGACAAAAATACAACATTGTAACGAAATATAACACAGAATGCAAAAGTAGATCAACACGAACATCACTAAAATTCGAAGGTGAAATCGGATGCTGCGAACGTTTAGCGGTTCTTGCTCCGTTAGTTGTTGCATGCCCATTATAACAAATGAATAAATTCTTCATAAAAAAATTTTGAACTAGAGTACAAACCTTGCTGATTTAGTGTTTGTGGACTGAATCCATTTGGATCTGGAAAGAAGAACATATACAATTAAAGATAACAGTGTGGCACAGATGCAAATACAAAATTGCAAGATACTTATATTAATTTCAAAACAATTTTTCTTATCAGTAGTGTTCGAAACCAAATGTAGAAAATTAAAAAAGAAGCACACTACCGCCATTATCCAAAAGGACTCCTGCAGAATAGGTGCACTAAAGACAATATACAAAAGGATACCAAAAAACTAGCTACATTCAGGTGAAAAAATAGCATTTACACATTGATATTATAATGAACTGAAATTTCTAATCTACAAGTATTATATAGATAACACCAAACCACTGGCTACCGAGGCGAATGCATGTAAAAAAACAAGGTTCTACAATGATCGTTTAGCTGTCCTGAAATCAAGCATAAACAACTCCCACAAAATTAAAAGCTAAAAACTTTCTAATGTTAAATCACGGATTCAAAGATATATCCCTTTCTCTGGCTGTGTATCCCAAGTATATCATAATTACACTTCCAGGAAGTGCAGCATTTGTATGTTGGGTTTTAATACGACCGCAAAAAATTTTGAGGTCGTTATTGGTATCAGGTCGTCGTCGTCCGAAGACAGTTGGTTTCCGGACAATAACTTTAGTATAATTATATAGAAATCTATGAAATTTAAACTTAAGGTTTATGACCACAAAAGGAAGGTTGGGATTGATTTTGGGGGTTATGGTCTTAACAGTTTAGGAATTAGGGGCCAAAAAGGGGCCCAAATAAGCATTTTTCTAGTTTCCAGACAATAACTTGTGGAACGGTGTATGGATCTCTCTGAAATTATACCACGAGTTTCCATACCACAAAGGGATGGTTAGGATTTGCTTTGGGGGGTTATGGCTCAAACCGTTTAGGAATTAGGGGCAAAAAAAGGGGGAAAAAACAAGGGTTTCCTGGTAAATGGACAATTAAGACAATTTAAAAGCAGTGTAAGGGAGGTAATCCAAACACAACGTTTTGATTACCTCCCTTACACTGCTTTTAAATTATGTATAAAGAAAGAAACTCAATTTTCCAAAGAAAAAATTGGGGGTCACAATTTATTTTGCTAATTCTTTGTATATAGTCTGAAAACAGATTGGAGGCCGTACCTTGACCTATAATGGTTTACTTTTATAAATTGTAACTTGGATGGAGAGTTGTCTCATTGGCACTCATACCACATCTTCCTATTTCTATTTACTAAGTATTGCACAACAGCACAGTGTATTGCACAACAGCAAGAAATCTTCAATTGAATATAAATTCAAATCATACATTTGGATTCCGGACAATAACTTTAGTTTAAGTGTATGGATCTCTATGAAATTTAAGCAAAATGTTCAATACCACAAAAGGAAGGTTGGGATTGTTTTTTGGGGTGATGGTCCCAACCGTTTAGGAAATAGGGCCCCAAAAGGTGTCAAAACAAGCATTTTTCTAGTTTCAAGACAATAACTTGTGTATAAGTATTTTGATTGCTCTGAAATTGTACCACAAGGTTTAATACCACAAGTAGAAGGTTGGGATTCACTTTGGGGGTAACTGTCCAAACCGTTCAGGAATTAGGGGCCAAAAAGGGTCTAAAACAAGCATTTTTCTAGTTTTCAGACAATAACTTGTGTTTAAGTGTATGGATGTCTCTTAATTTGTACCACATTTTACAAAAAGAAAATTTCTTCAAAATTGGAGGGAGGGGGGTAAAAAAATTCTTATGGGGGGTTCAATTATTTCCTCAAGATTTAAGAAATTGTCAATTTTCCAAAGAAAAAAATTGGGGGTCACAATTTATTTTGCTAATTCTTTGTATATAGTCTGAAAACAGATTTACTAAGTATTGCGCAACAGCACAGTGTATTGCACAACAGCAAGAAATCTTCAATTGAATATAAATTCAAATCATACAACCAATTTCAAGTTCTTTGACTACATTTATTCTGTGTCAAAAACCTATAATGTGTCAAATATTTAATTACAATCCAAATTCAGACCTGTATCAAGCTTAAATATTGTGTCCATTTTTGCCCAAACTGTTCAGGGTTGGACCTCTGCGGTTGTATCCAGCTGCGCTCAGCGAAGCAGTTTATTTAATATTCTTAAAACACATACAGTAACCACAGAAACATATTGTCCAACTGAATCCTCTTTTAATGTAACTATCTAGTTGGTTAACGAACGTTAGCATATTTAAGATGAAAATGGACATATCGTTTTTAATTCCATTACGTAAGGCTTACGTAATGGAATTAAAAACGATATGTCCAAAGCCATTTTTACAAAACATAACAATAGGCATGTACTAGTAAGTGTCATCTCTTAGCCGATAAAATTGAGAATGGAAATGGGGAATGAATCAAAGAGACAACAACCCGACCATAGAACAGACAACAGCAGAAGGTCACCAACAGGTCTTCAATGCAGCGAGAAATTCGAACCTGTTTATAAGTTACCTTTAAAAACTTGAATGATCTATTTCATTAAAGGGACAGAATGGAACCATGATATATAGAAATTTTACCATTACAAGTCTCGGAACCTGCAGATTCTCCGTTAACCAAACTGTCCGCACATTGTTCATTCCCATGTGAATCAAATAAATAAAGAATATAGTGAACTGTAATTAAGATATACTATTCATTGTTTAATGTAGTACAATACATTCATACGCATTTCTTATATAATTCAATTGTACCTATTACAGTCTTGTTTCACTATAATGTGCTGTAATTTGAAAGTGGTAGGCCCCTTTCAATCTTCTTGGTTTACCATCCCGTATTCCATTATTGCAATTTTAAACATTAGATTTACTATTAATTTATTGAGGCATCACATCTATATCCCTATAGCTACTTACTACTTCCACTGCCGCCACCACTTCCGCCAAACATATTACCGAATCCTCCGTTCGCCATCATTGCATTGAGACCAAAATTAGATCCACTTATGAAATTTCCAAACATTCCGTTCATTGTCTGTGTGAGTTTATCAGCAGAAGAGCCACCTCTACCTGAACTTGCTGATCCTGAACCGGACCCAGAACTAGACCCAGTTTGAGACCCTGAGCTTTGACTTCCGAGATTAAGGTTTACACCACCAGTTTGGCCACCTGAACCACCTGTCAAACTTCCGGTAACACTACCAAGAGATCCAATATTAGCCTGCCCTTGTACCCCACCAGAAACCTGACCATTTGCCATGTTTATATTGCCACCGACGCTTCCTAAATTACCGAGATTTGCATGACCTTGGGCCCCTCCACCAACTTGTCCATTTGCAATGTTGACATTGCCGCTCAAACTTGCATTTCCAAGATTTGCATTTCCGTGAACACCGCCTGACACTTGTCCATTTTTGTCTACATTTATATTGCCACCAACACTTCCAAGAGAGCCCAATTGAGCCTGTCCACTCCCACCACCGCTTACTTTCCCGTTTTGATCAACATTCACATGCCCACTTACACTTCCAAGCTTGCCTAAATTGGCCTGTCCATTCACACCAGTAGATACTTTGCCATTTTGGTCAATATCGACATGAGCTCCCACGCTGCCAAGTGGACCTAAATTTGCATTTGCATCAACTCCAGTGCTAACCTTACCATTTTTATCCACATCAACATGAACTCCAGCGTGAGCAAGAGGACCAAGTTCTATCCCAACTTCACCACCGCCACTTACTTTGCCGTTCTTATCTACGTTCATGTGACCTCCAATTTCGCCAGCACCTAAGACATTGACAGAAGCCTCTCCACCGCCACTAACTTTACCACTATTGTCAACATTCAAGGCACCACCTAGACTACCAACGGCAGGAACGTCAACTTTTCCACCAGCACTGAAGCCACCTTTCCCAGCCGAAACATTAAATCCACCAAGTGGAGTGTCCAATTTGGCCTTGACACCGTCCTTACCAATCCCTACACCTCCGACTGCTGTGTCAACATTAAGGCCATCCTTTCCTACACCCACACCACCGACTACTGTGTCCACATTAAGGCCATCCTTTCCTACACCAACCCCACCGACTGCAGTGTCTACTTTCAATCCATCTTTTCCAATGTCAATGTCTATCAAATGTGGTATTATAAATCTTTTATCTAAAACGTCAACAAACAAACAATTGTACATTTTGTATTTTGAATAATTATAAATTGTCCTCATATATTTCATAGTTTTTAAGGACGCTTTTTTTTACCAAAACAGAAACTTTGCATTTTAGAGATTTGTTAAAATGTCAGAAAAAACATGAATTATCTGACATAACTTTATAAGTCTTATTTTGTTCTATAACGTCCATCCTATGGTCATGTTTTCAATGTTTGCATTTATGAGTGTGGTTTATAGAAAAGAGAATAATGAACCAATTCTACAGAGAAAAGGACAAAAAAATAATGAAAAGAATAAAATAGACCCCAAAATATAAAGAATTTAGAGAATAATTGGGCGCTTAAATATAAATAAAAATAATGTGCAAATAATAAAAAGAATACAAAAATGTTTTTAAAAATACAGAAATAATGAAAAACTCTATCACTTATTCAAAATTGGTGGTATTTCTTCGATCGTCTCTGTTGAAATTACAACTTTTTTTCGAATCGAAGGAATATAGATCTTGATCTTGACTTATGTTGACTCAGTCTAGATGTCTCTTGCTTATTTTTTCCGTTGGGTTGCTGTATCATTGGTGTATATGTATACCCAATGTCTCTTTTATTCATAATTTTCTACTGCTTTACAAGGCATATTTTTCAATGTTTTTCCTTTTGCAGTAAACATCATTGTCATAGCTTTTTATATAAGTAGATACTACTTAGAATTATAAAAGCTATAAAAACTGCCGTAAATGGTCAAAAAGATGAAGTTTTATTTATCTAACGATTATAATTTTCTTTTTTATTACAAAGTTCCAAATTAAAATGGCAGTGTTAAATCAAGAAAAGAATTGAGTCAAGAAAGTTATGAGTTTTTCATCAATCTTTTTGCCACTTACAACATTTTTAACAATTTGTTTGATTTGATCTGGAAGTAAGAAATGATGAGGTCGCACAAAGTTCATTAGTTTGTTTTGCAGTTTTGAATGTGAAATAGCCAATAGTTGTTCATACGTAGTATCGACTACTCTACGGCTGTACAATTTCAGGACTAAAAGAAATTTTAACCATAAAAGTCATACCTTTTGATGGACGAATCGTTCGTGTAGCACCAACACAGTTACCACCTGCCATGACCTTTGAACTTGACAATGGAATTGCAATGATCTATGAAAGTAAGAAAGTAATTTTGAAATATTTGGAAAGTTCTGCTTACTTTGAAATCAATCTTTAAAGATAATACCCTTTTGCAGCAACATCTGTTTATGATATTGTCATAACATTCCCGAATCACACAATAAGATCTATGACGAATGACAATATAAAATTGAGAATGGAAATGGGGAAAGTGTCAAAGAGACAACAACCAGACCAAAGAGCAGAACACAGCCCAATGCCACCAATGGGTCTTCAACACAGCGAACAAATATGTTTGTCCTAATGTTATCTCGTTCATAGTCTCTTTAATTTATTTACAACTTTCCTATAGACTCGGAACGATTTAGAGCTTTATGTATTGTACATGTTATGTATAGTCATTTTTCTATTGTTGGAAATTATGTTGACACCTAGATGATTTTAGGTGGTTTTGTGTCTTTCGGTTGCTGTCGTATTGACGTATGTACTCTCATCTCGTTTTACTTGTTTGAAGTAAAAAATAAATCAATCCATGCCTGATGATATTGTTGTCATGATACGGAAGCGAAATATTGTCATGATTATCTTGTTATCCAAGAAGCCGGTAGTGGAGAATACCATTTCCCGGTTTTTATCGGGGTTCGTGCTGCTCAAGCTCAATCTAGCATTCTGTTGAGTGTTTGGGGATTTATGTTTGTCTTTCATCTTTTTTTTTAGGTCATTGTTTTGTATGTCGTTCTTCGAAATATGGTTTTATTTTGGTATATTCCATCTTTTTTCTATGCCAATAAAACATTATGACATTTCCGCTAAATTCGACACTAGGTCTTATAAACCTTTGGCATATGTAAACACTCTAACTCCAGTATATGTTTGAAATTGAAATAAAGTTTTGTTATGAACAAAGGGTAGAAAAGACCGTAACCCATAGAGACAACACAAACATTAAAAATAGAATAGCACAAATACAGCACAGAGCAAAAGCAACACACAACACGGAAAGACAATCTAATTAAAACATCTGATTTCGTTATCCTCATATGAGCTTATATTTACGAGCACGTGAATTAAGATAGATATGAATTTTAATCAGATATATATTGCACTAAAAGGATATGTGTCTGTGTATACATATATTTTCTTTTCAGGCTTTATATTGTCACAAACGTCGTTTGTGGACAATGACTTGTATGATTAACTCTTAATTGTATGTCTGACAAATGTTGACGCATCCAGCACAGCAACAATTTTCGTGAACTTTCTAAACTCGAATTTACAGATGACATCTTATCCTTGAGATAAAATTTCAAATACCGGTATAAAGTATGTTAGGCAGTAAGCTATTCTTTTTGTTCAAATATACAATGTGCGCCTTTTCACAAACAAACGGTTGAACAACAAACACGACATAAAAAGGTTGAAATTTCCAATTATTGTCTGCATAATGTCCAGAACAAATATTTCAAAAATGATATAATGGTGCTTAATTGTAGTTATTAATTCTAGATACAATTGTCGTCATGAATCAGTATTTATAAAGCTTACTCGTTGGTGGTGATATAATATGTATTATCAGAAGTCCATTACTAGAGGTATTCAGATAACGTGATGGCGTCGTGAAAAGAATATGGTAAAAACAAAGTTTTAGTTTTTCAAATTTTGCTGTTAAATACATTCGTTTTCTTTTTAATTTAGATGTTTCTTATGCATATGTTATATTTCTTTTCAAATATAATGTTGAAAAACATCAATGCTTTTAATATATAATAGAAATGTACCATTTGGCCCATACATAATTTGAAGCATTTTCAACTTGTCCTCTTTCTAACAATGATATAACACTTCAAATAAAGCTGGAAATGCCATGGCAAATCAAGTATTAAAAAAAGAGAGAAATCCTTACCGAGTCATCCTTTAAAACAGCAATTAATACATTATTCCTTAGTACAAACCCTCCATAGGAGTAACAGGTGGCTCTATAGTCTAACCAAAAGAAATAAAACAGTGTGTTATAATTGCTCAACGCAATAATACAGAAATATACAATGTACGTCTATATCTATAAGAATAAAGAGATGATCTATCTCAGACCAAATGACGAGGATGTAAAAAAATATAAAGCACTGTGCGACCTTCAACAATGAACCAAACTCATATCGTATAGTCAGCTATATAAGTCTCCGGCATGAATCAATGACAAACACTTAAAGATGGAAAACTAACGAACTGATTTATGCTAAAAACAAACGAAAGACAATGAAGGTAGACAGCGACCAACTATATATAAAGGACCACTGAATTACAGGCTACTGACTAAGGACAGAAACACAAAGTATAAGACCACTGAATTACAGGCTACTGACTAAGGACAGACACACAAAGAATAAGACCACTGAATTACAGGCTACTGACTAAGGACAGACACACAAAGAATAAGACCACGGAATTACAGGCTACTGACTAAGGACAGACACACAAAGTATAAGACCACTGAATTACAGGCTACTGACTAAGGACAGACACACAAAGTATATGACCACTGAATTACAGGCTACTGACTAAGGACAGACACACAAAGTATAAGACCACTGAATTACAGGCTACTGACTAAGGACAGACACACAAAGTATAAGACCACTGAATTACAGGCTACTGACTAAGGACAGACACACAAACAATGTTGCGGGGTTTCACATGTTTGTAAGGGCTCAACCCTATCATAACACGGGACATGAGATCACAAGAACAAACAATCAGTTCGAAAAGGCTTGACTCATCAGATCGGCACTAAGTACACAACAAAACACTAAAAACAAAACAAAAACAAAACAGAGTACCGGTCAAAGAGTTCTCGCAGTATACTTTCATTTTTAAACGAAAGCAAATCTTGATTGCACTATGCTATGTTTAAATCAAAACCTTTCAAAAGTGACAGGAGCCAAAAGATGAGTCAGTATATGTAAAGAGCTTTTTCATACAAAAGGCCTCCATTAAAAAGAGCATTAATTCGCATTTTTTTTTTGTATTTTCTGCAAGGCACAAGTGTTAAATTTATTAACACAAGATTCGTAAATTTCGGCAAATGTAATACAAATTATGACAAGAAACAGATCCGTTTTACAAGTTTCGATTTTTATATGAATATATACGGTATAAACTTACTCCGAGTAAATTTCTATATATTCCGTAGGTCCAACGCCCCTCCTTCAAAAAAGTGGAGTGGCATATCCAGGACTTTTAAAAGCGAGGGAGCCGAGGGCAAAACTGGATAAGTTCAGGATATCCTTCGATTAAACATATGCAATAAGCAAAGTGGTTTCTAAATTGTCTTTAACAGCAATATACAGTTCTGAACATCCTATCCATTTGTTAATATAAAATGTCCCTATGAAAATATTTTTCCAATGTGTTTTTGGTAATTGCACGGGGTTCCTCATTCTTTCTACAGAAACAAAGAAAAAAAATTAAGGGACAAAAAAACCTGAGACATAAATTGTGGAAAAAGAGAAGAGTTTGCCGACTTGGAACAGGCATGGTGGATAGATGAACTGAAAAGAAACTGGCAATTCTATGCTAAAAAGGGTAGGCAGATCATCTCCACATGTGACAGAATAAATGTTGTTGATGAAAAGAGGATATTTGCGTAAGCTTTCAATCTCACAGATCGCGAACAATTTTGACTGGAAAAAAATTTTATAAATAAAACTTGATATTACTCTCACTTCAAGATTTGCCTCCTTAGAGAACTGTTCAATTAAATGTTTAAACCTTTTAGTCTCGAAATAAAAGTATTTTATATAGGTCATTTTTAAGATCATGTAATTTTGCCAATGCTTGATCTAGATAACAGTTTAACAGTTGAAGGTAAAGTTTGGGATAAACCAGGTGAAAGATAAATAG